AGTTCGCAAACAGTCGTTTGGTAAACCATTGTTTGGCTGGCGGCCTTGAAGCAGACTGCATATGAACTTCCTGTTCAACAAAATCAGTAGTTCATAGAAATAATTTGCATGGCGTTAATGAATTTAACCTGGCATCGTTGATGTGTCACAATACTGTCGCTTTGCTAAGTCTACTGAAACTGGTGCTTCATGAGCTGGAAGAACAACGTTCTTTCTGTCGACACCAAGCAATGGGCAATATTTGCCTCTTCTCACATACAATTTTGACTTATGAAGGTGTGTTTGAAGCTTCATAGCTACCTGCCACGTTTTCAGCTGCTGTAGCGTCCGTCTCTGTCGTCATTCCGTTCTCGTACGCAGCTCCGGTTGCCACCAGATCGTCCACCTTTGCTCCTTGCTTAGGCTCCAAAACTTGAAGCGCACCTGTGACTGAAAAAAAAGACGTGCAATTTAAAGGCCGGCGAGGAACAAAACGCTGGAGTGAGTACCTGTCCCGAAACAGGCGATCGAATCGAGAAGAGGCTTCGGGTCGCAGTCGAGTCGCGTCGCCGTGCGAAGCTGCGACTCCAACTGCTGTTCGGTCAAGAAGTGCTAAAAACGATTTCGAATATTAAACAACAACACATAAACATTACATCTCACTCTAATATTTCTACACATCTCGTTCATATCGCGAACCGAGAGTGCGTCGGCGTTCTTCTGAAATTCGCGTGACACTCGTAGTCGCTGCTGCAGAAACGCATTGCCATCATGGTGGCATTTTTCCAGTGCGTTCCTTAGAGTCTTCTCCCGTTCGTCCAACCTGAACGAACAACACAATTTAACATTTTCATCAATCGTACACACAACGTGCTTAGGGCATAAAAATCACTGCGCGCCTATTAATCGCGTAACGACGCCCTTGGTCTCGTTATGCCGCGCTGCCTTCCGGCAGAAGCAGATATGCTGGAAACTTACTGCTGCCTCAGTTCCGCGAACACCGTGTTCAGACGTTCTTTCGACTCCGATATTTCGCCTTCGAAGAAACGATTCAGTTTTTCCAAAAACCCATCATGTTTCTGCAGATTCCTGATCTCTCGTCGAAACTCTAAAAGTAAACCTCATCACAACGATGCGGCCCATTACATACAAAAAAGCCTACACTCATTTAACATCGAACTGCAAAGTTGATAACATTCTGGATGATCGTCAGCTATCATTCGCTACTTGGAGCGGTGCTGATCTACGGAAGACCTTAAGAACACTACGTCAGTGGATTTGTAAGCTGCAAAAAGCAGAGGTTGCCCAAAATTTAGTCGGTAAAACAAGACACTTCATCTAACAACCAAACTCCAATAAAAATGGCTTCCGGTCGTGACAGGTAGCAAAAACTTATTTTACATTTTCAGCTTCACAGTATCTGGAAACTACCATAATAAGCACTAAACATTTTGGAAAAGAAAATCGTACCGTTACACTTTCATGGTCAGTGGTCACGTTGTCTTTTTCATAAAGTCTATAGCAAAGTGCTGATCTTCGTTTCAACGCCATCAACCAGGAGTGCCTTATTTTAAAAGCAGTGTCTACAGCTATGCGGCAAGTATAGCTGACCGTCTCTTGTCTACTTCCCACTCTCATCCATGGTATTAATTTATCAAGTTCGGAAGAAAGAAAAACGAGTGAACTAACAAATAAATACTATGCAAACATCAGCAACCTGCTAGTTAGAAAGAAGGATCTTTCGATCAGAGAACCGGACGACAAGTTGGAAAGTGACTGCTAATAAAAGTCCCTAAAAAACCATGGTGAAATCAGTTCATGCCCACTTTCTAAAAAAGGACGAATCGTGGGTTCTATCGAAAGAAAAATGAAGCGATACAGATAGATCGCTTCAGTAAACGAACACGAAATAAGCATTCATGACATTTGGATGGGTCAGGATTAGAAATTCAGCGCAACAACGATATTCATATTTGTATAGTCATGTCACTACCGTTCTGAATTAACGACGGTATATGCCGTTGTCATTAATAACAATATGAAACTTAAAACAGCTCATCAGCACAACGTTTTGAAATGCAAATTATAAACGGCAAGTAAGTCTTCTACTAGACAGAAATCGGTCGTAGCTCTGGCAACAGCTGTAATACACAACCTCATCCCTAAAAGTTATCGTCATTCCGGAAAATACGAAGAGGAGTAAGCCCGTGAACCGGAGAAAAGCCTAAGCTCACCGAGGAAAATTCCAAGCTGTCCAAGCCTCAGAGACACCACTTGGAAGTCCATTAGCAGGAGGTGAAGGGCAAAGGGACGTTAGAACTAAAACGCATGAAAAACGCTCTGAAGGCAGCCGAAACCATTTGCCAAGATCACGAGCCAGAAGGCATTAACAGAAGTCTCGATCGAGTCAGAAAAAGGCAATTTGAATCACACGAC